TTTTTTACAGAGGGGAAGGGAGAGAGATAGAGAGTTAGAAACATCGATGAGAGAGAAACATCGATCAGCTGCCTCCTGCACATCTCCCACTGGGGATGTGCCCGCAACCCAGGTACATGCCCTTGACCGGAATCGAACCTGGGACCTTTCAGTCCGCAGGCCGACGCTCTATCCACTGAGCCAAACCGGTTTCGGCAAGATATTACATTTTATAGTCATACTAGCGGCCCGATGCACGAAATTCCGGCAAGAGGCTCCGCCCCACAGCCCCGCCCACTGGTTGGTCCGCTGTGCAGCCTAATTAGCATATTAGCTCTTTGTTATACAGGATGTGTGTGTTCATATATGAACTCATACACATACGTGTATACCATTTCTACCATTTTCCGCCTTTACCTCTGAGGTTGAGCGGATCTTGGTCTGGAACTCGCTGAGCACCCTGGCCAGCTTGTTGTAGTCGTTGGTGTTCTGGTACATCTTTTTCCTAAGAGACTTGTTTATCCGCAGGAAGTCCACAAAGACGGTGGAGTCGCTCATCATGGATTCTTTGGTCCATTGGATCTGTTGGGAGGCGATCATTCGATAGCACCTGTTACCGGCCCACGTCTACTCATCAAAATCAACAGTAAGGCCGGCATCCCCAAAGCTCGACACACCAGGCCTAGGCCCCAGGGGTTCTTCACCTATTTTGTGCCCTGGGCCCGTTTTGGCAGTGAAACCCAAAGGTTCCTCAGAACAATATTTTGAAATACACACAGCAAGATACAAAGGCCACAGAGGAAGCTAAACACATTGGAGGACAGTTTCATCGAAGGGCTCTCTGAGGATCTTCGGGTTCCCCGTTTCAGAACCCCGGCGGTGGAAATACCCTGTTTTTTGTTAATCCTCACCCGAGGATATTTTCCCATTGATTTTTAGAGAGAATGGAAGGGAGGGGGAGAGACAGAAAGAAAGAGAGAGAGAGGCATCGACTGGTTGCCTCCCAGGGTCGGGGGATCGAGCCTGCAATCAAGGTACGTGCCCTTGATCGGAATTGAACCTGGGACCCTTCGGTCCGCAGACCGACACTCTATCCACTGAGCCAAAGCGACGAGGGTGGAAATACCATTCTGAGGTCTCACCGACAACCCGAAAGGAAAACCTCCCCTTGCTAATGACCTCTACAGCCCAGCAAGCTCCCACACTGGCTTCCGGGGCCCACGGTGAACTCCTGCCTACCTTTCAGGCCAAGGTCATGGGCTCCCTTCTCTTTCAAGTCTGTCTCCCTCCCCCTAAAGCCGGGTAGAGAGGAGCCGTGTTTCCTTCCCTGCCCCAGCACCGTGACGTGTGCAGAGGCCTGTCGGGCACCAGGGGGCCCCACGGCTCCAGGCAGGTCTCAGCACCCACCTGGCTTGGTGTTTGCACTGGAAATTCCTAACAGGTGCGTGGGGAGACATGTGTTTGGCAGTGGCTGAAGGAAGGCTGAGGGGCAGTACGGCGAGATGGTTAAGAGAGTATCTGGAGTCAGATATCCCGGGTTCGAATCATGAGGCTACCACTTAACTCGCTGTGTGACCTAGCTGTGTTCTGACCCTCACTCTGCCTCAGTTTCTTTACCTGTGAAAGGGGACAGTAACAGGACCTATGCTACAGGGATGCTACGGAGATCAAAATGAGTAATATGTACAATTTTCCCTAAAATACGTTTTTACTGATTTCAGAGAGGAAGGGAGAGGGAAGGAGAGAGAGAAACATCAATGATGAGAGAGAATCATGGACTGGCTGCCTCCTGCACTCCCGCTACTGGGGATTGAGCCTACAACCCGGGCATGTGCCCTTGATTGGAATCGAACCCGGGACCCCTCAGTCCGCAGGCCGGCGCTCTATCCACTGAGCCAAACCGCCTAGGGCTATGGGACGTTTTTTAAAGGCCCGGCACATCGAGCTATCACATGTAACACACTGCCTAACATTTCTGTCATGAATGTCACAGACACGTCTGTGCACTTGAACAGAAACGCGTCTGCCCGGGACCCCGTTGAAAAGGGTGCATAGATGCGCGTTTACCTGGAAGTAGTTCTCCAGCTCCTTCGAGAGAAACTGGTAGAAGAGCCACTTCTCCGCGTGCTCGACCAGGCGATCGTGAAACACCCGGGCGGCTTCGTGGACGAAGAACAGGGCGGCCATCTCCTTGGAGTCGACGACAGCCCTGTCAGCCTGCAGCAGCCCCAGGAGGAGCTGGCGGGGGTGGGAAAACAACACCCCGTTAGCCACCCGCTGGAAGGAGGTGGCCAAACAGGCTGCACGCCTCACACGGAGGGGGGGACCGGGCCCTCGACCCGGGCACGTGCCCTTGACCGGAATCGAACCTGGGACCCTTCGGTCCGTAGGCCGACGCTCTATCCACTGAGCAACACCTTGCCATTTCTTTCCCTGCTGAGAATCGTAGCCAGTATTCTAACAGCCTCACGTGGTTTTATCATGGCATTCTCTGCCTGGAATTATTTTAATGATTCTTGGTAACTGGTTCATGCGTAAGCTGCTAATACACAGCAAAACCAATCAATCTGAACTTCCCTTTTTGCCCCTTTTAACAATTTAATATTGAAAATATCAATGAGAGGGAGGGAAGGAGAGAGGAAGAGAGGGAAGGGGTAGAGAGACAGGAGAGAGAGTGAGAGACAGAGAATCAACTCAGTAAAATGACATTTCCCCCATCTTAAACATTAAGAGCAGCGGTTCTCAACCTTCCTCATGCCGCGACCCTTTCATATAGTTCCTCATGTTGTGGTGACCCCCAATTTCATTGTTACTAATTGAACATCATTAAAGCATAGTGATGAATCACAAAAACAATATGTCATTACATATGTGTGTTCCGATGGTCTTAGGCGACCCCTGTGAAAGGGTCGTTCGACCCCCAGAGGGGTCGCGACCCACAGGTTGAGAACCGCTGATGAAGAGTGAGCCAGAGAATGAATTTTAAGACAAACCTTAAATATATCCCGGAGATTAAACAGGTAGTGGCACTTCGTTGGCGTCGTCAGCATATTCTGACATACTTGATAGTATATAGCGAGAGAACAAGATATTATGTGATCCTTACTTTTCTGAACTTCAGGTGTGAAGTTATGGATGGAGAAATACATTCCCAAATGGACCTTTGGGAAGAAATCGAGTAACTCAGGCGGCCGAAAATTGTAAGGGCAGACTATTTCCAGCCAATTCCTGCTGCAGAAGGAGATGTGTGCGCTGGGACAGAGGGTTCATCTCATATGCATACAAGTTCTCTGGTTGATCTCTTCCCACCCCCACCCCGCCCGGCCCCAGCCTTCCCTCTGAGATTCCACGGAGTGAAGCCATTTTTCTAATAAGATATTTCAGAATTTTCTCTCTCCTTACTTTTTGATCCTATAAGAAAAAGAATAACTCGACACTAGCAAAAAAGGGGCTGTGCTTGTTAAGCCGGCTTCCCGAGCCCCAGCCCAGAGACAGTCACAGTTTCTGACAACAAAGTCTTGGAATCTATGCCGTAGACATCCATGAGCAAGTGCCCACGTGTTGCTTAACACACCCTGAACTATGTCTTTGAAATGGAGAGGCGAATTATAAGAGGCCAGAAGATGGAAGGGGAGAAATAAAACTTGTCCCCTTCAGAGAACGTTCGTTCACATTAGGGATGTGAGGGTCTCAGAGTTCCCCTCGCAGCAGGAAATTTACTTTTTCTTCCCCCCAGCAGACAGGAGGCGGGCGCGGTACCTGGAAAATAGTCCGCAGGGCGCTCTGTGGAGGATGAGGCAACACGAGGACGGAGAAGTGTTTGAGGAGGCGTGGGCTGATGTCCCCCCTTCCCACGGGAGGCATGCAAGCTGCCACGAGGGAGAGATCTTGAATATTCTGTGGGAAGAGGGAAAGGGGAAGGGGAACGAAATGGGTCCGTGGACAGTGATTTTTGGATTTAGATTTTTTTTCCCATTAGAGAGAGAGGGAGTGAGAGAGAGAGAGAGAGAGAGCAGGCTTTTCCCACTTGGGGGCCCCTCCCCAAAGGGGACCCCTCTGCCCAGATGGAGTTTGTATATGCTTCCACTAAACTTCTACATTCTTATTAAAGAAACCTGTTAGCCCACGAATTTATTCTTCATCTTCGTCGGACAAGGACCCACGAGAAGAAGTCTGCACCCCGAGCCCCACGTTTCAACAATATTAAACGTGAACTTTACCTTCCACGCAATTTTTTCCGTATCAAAAACTCCTCCCAAGTCCAGTAATTGCCTGATCAGTTCCAGGGGTGGCTGTGCTCCGTACTTATCTGCTTCCGGCATATTCAGGTCGTCAATGAATATTACAATCTGAAGGAAGGCACAGATTTAAAATGCATTAATTAGTATTCCTTTCTTTAAAGTGTGAGTTAGGGATAGTAATTATGCGATGGCTTGAGAACAAAATCACCAGGAGTAATGACACGTCTTTTTCTACTAAAAAGCAGCCGACCAAATTCTATTCTGACATGGCTTTCAAAAACAATGCCTTCAAAATAGCAGAAACTCCACTCCCTTCCTACAGACCTCCACGGACAGCAGCTAGAAATGCAGTTGATGCTGGATAAAGTAATCCGTTTGTGGCTTTTACCAAGGAACACATGTGATTATTATTCACTTAACATTCACTCATTGAGTTGGCGAGGCTGTGTTAGGTGTGCAGATATTTATTTCCTACTAGAGGCCCAGTGCACAAGATTCGTGCACTGGAGGGTGGGGGCGGGGGGCCCCTCAGCCCAGCCTGCGCCCTCTCGCAGTCCAGGAGCCCTTGGGGGATATCCGACTGACAGCTTAGGCCCGCTCCCCGGACATCCTTAGCACTGCTGCCTGCACCGCTGCACTCGCCAGTCGCGAGCCTGGCTCCTGGATTGAGCGTCTGCCCCCTGGTGGTCAGTGTGCATCATAGTGACCAGTCATTCTGCAGTTCGGTCAATTGGCATATTACCCTTTTATTATAGAAGAAGATGGGCCCTGGTTTGGGAATGACACTGCCACGTGGAACTAGACTTTTACAATTCTGCTGCAAATGCTGTTGCAGAGAATTCAGACACATTTCCAGTTTTCAAGCACGTTACTTTTAATGTTAACAACGTGCCAGGTAGACAGGGGAAGACTAAGGAACGCCCACACTATTTCAAGGAAGCAGGAGTTGTCCGAGTTATAACGAGGCTGCTCTTTCAACACTGTGGATACCATCAGTTTCTCTTTTTCTTTCTTTCTTTTTTAAAAATTATATTTTCATTGATTTCAGAGAGGAAGGGAGAGGGAGAGAGAGAGAGAGATAGAAACAATAATGAGAATGAAACATTGATCGGCTGCCTCCTGCACACCCCCTACTGGGGATCATGCCAGCAACCCGGGCATGTGCCCTTGAGCGGAATCGAAGCTGGGACCCTTTAATCCACAGGCCAAATTTCCATTATATATATATACTAGAGGCCCTGTGCACGAAATTCCCTCAGCCCGGCCTGCACCCTCTCGCAATCCAGGACCCCCTCGGGAGATGTCGGGATCGGGCCTAAACTGGCAGGACATCGCTCTCACAACCTGGGACCGCTTGCTCCTAACCACTCGCCTGCCTGCCTGATCACCCCTAACCACTCTGCCTGCCTGCCTGATCGCCCCTAACTGCCTCTGCCTTGGCCCCTGCGGCGGCAGCTTTGTCCAGAAGGACGTCCGGAAGGTCGTTCGGCTGTCCGGTCTAATTAGCATATTACGCTTTTATTAGTATAGATTTTTTAAAAAATCAATTTATTGATTTTAGAGAGGAAGGGAGAGGGTGAGAGAGATAGAAACATCAATGATG